AAAAAAAAAAAAATCTGGGCAGACTTCCTACCCAATGTGCTTGTTTGCCAGATTCTTTCTGGTAGCATACCCTTCTGAAGAAGTAAAGTTTGCTTTGCCCAGCAGCATTTTTTTGGGGGGTGGGGAGTACCAGGGATTGAATTCAGGGGCACTTGACCACTAAGCCACATGCCCAGGYCTATTTTGCATTATATTTAGAGACATGGTCTCACTGAGTTGCTTAACACCTGGAAGTTGCTGAAGCTGGCTTTGAACTCACCATCCTCCTGCCTCAGCCTCCTAAGCTGCTGGGATTACTGATGTGAGCCACCACTCCCGGCTGCCCAGTAGCTTTTGAGCACATATCAGATTTCTTGTAACACCCCAATATTTCTAACAGTACATAAAGTTGTGCAGGATGGACCTGGCCCCTCCTGAGTTCCCTTCAAACAGTTTTAATCTTGTACTTTCACTGGCCATCCCTAAAATGGGAGTTGGTGATGGCAAGACAGGAGGAATGGGGCAGGGAGGGAGGAAGGATGGTATGTATTTAGAAAGGCAACAGAACTCACTGGCATTAAGCATTCCTTCTTAGGAATACAACATTCCTTTTCTTCAGTTCTTTTACAACCCAAATCCCTAAACTTACTTTATAACCTACCTAGGACTTCCTTCAATGTTCCTTCCCAGGAAACTCCCCTTGGTTCTGATCTTCTCCTTTACCCTCAAAGAGGAGTCAGGGATATGGCTCAGTTGGTAGAGTGCTTGCCTTGCATGCATAAGGCCCTGGGTTCAATCCCCAGCACCACAAAAAAGAAAAAAAAAAAAACTAAAATCCTTTATCCTCAAAGAATGTTACTTCTCTTTCTTCTCTCCATCAGCTATTCCCCTAGCTAGCACTGCCCATCAGAAGTTTCTCCAAGGATGTAACATCTAAGGACAATTCTAAATTAGCCTGATGGAGTGGGAAGTAGGCAATAGGAGGGCAGATTTTTTTTGTTGTTTTGTTTTGTTTTTTTGGTTTTTTTGGTACTGGTGATTGAACCCAGGGATGTTTAACCACTGAGCAATATCCCCRGCCCCTCTTAGTTTATATTCTGAGACAGGGTCTCACTAATTTGCTTAGAGCCTCACTAAATTGCTGAGGCTGGCTTTGAACTTGTGATTCTCCTGCCTCAGCTTCCCTAACCACTGGGATTATAGGCATGTGCCAYTGTGCCTGRCAGGAGGGCAGGTTTTCAAACAGAGGAAACAGCACTCAGCAACTACAGCCCCAGTGGTGAGAAAGAACACAGCACAAATAATTCAGTGTAGCTAGAGGTGGAATGCAAACTGATGGAGAAGGGGTACAAGATGAAGTCAACTAAGAAGCAGATCAATAGGTGCAGTGGTATACACCTATAATCCCAGCAACTCTGGAGGCTGAGGAAGGAGAATTGTCAAAGTTCAAGGTCAGCCTCAGCAACTCAAAGAGGCCCTAAGCAACTTAGTGAGATCCTGTCTCAAAATAAAAAATAAAAAGGGCTAGGTATATGGCTTGGTGGTAAAATGCCCCTGGGGTTCAATCTCCAGTTCTTAAAAAAAAAAAAAAAACAGAAGATTAAGGGCTTTACAAGCCATGTGAAGAGATTAGAGTTTATCCTGTTAATGGCAGGAAACAGTTATATGCAGGAAAGAGGCATTACCCGCTATCATGTGAAATGTGGACCACAGAGGGCCAAGACTGAAGACCAGTTACAAAGGTAAAATGTACACAAAATACCTGGCAGGTAGAAAATGTGCAATCAATGAGAGCTCCCTTATTTTTTGCTTTTCTCTTTCCTTCCTTAAGTGCCTTTCCCCTGTGTCAGGTCATTCCTTCCTTTCTTCAGTCTTTGTTCAGTCCATCCATCCATCCTTCCTTCCTTCCTCATCTCCCCCACTTACACTACTAGTTATCCCTTTCCTCCCTGCTTCAACCATATGTGCGCCCCACCCTCAAAGGATGGGTGGAATTGTCTGGAAACATTTCTAGTTGTCACATGAAGGAAAGACRGTGCTTTTGGCATCTAGCAGCTAGAGGTCAGAGATGCTATTAAACATCCTACAATTCACAGGGCAATCCAAGTCCCCTCTGCTCCCCCATCTACAAAGAATTATCTAGCCCAAACTGTCAAGAGCTCTGAGATTAAGAAACACTGGCTTAGAGTTTTCCTTCAGTTACCTGAAGAATACACTAAATTTTCACAGGAAGCTTGATGGAGTCCTGGAACTCAGTCTAACTGAGAACATTTGAAAAATACTAGGGTACTGAACAGGTGTCTAAGCTGACCTATTTGCTGATTCAATTAGCTACACTTTCAGGAGATTGATACTTTCCTAATCTTGCACTGTGCCCTTCTGGATACCTTTGCCCTATTTAAGGCCTCAGTCCCTTGCAAATCAACGACACAACTTAGGAGAAACTGCCACTTAACTTACATAAGTGCTATGAATCCAACCAAAGCTCTGTAACTACAGATCAGAATGAGCAATGACAGAGACATGAAAGAAAGGTGGACATGAAGATTCCTTCAGGCTTCAAATGGCTCTCCTTCAAAAGGCCTGGCTAAGGAACAGGGAGAACCAGGCACAAATTACTCACACTACAGCCCAGGGCAGGCTTCTGAACGCCTAGGTAAGAAGAGAAGATATGTCCCAAGACAAGATATACAAACAAATCTGTGTGCCATTCCTCAATATCTGCCTTCTTTCCTAAACATCTCTCCCTCTTCCCAGTCTACCCAGAATTTCCAGCCCAGAGAGCCCCCATCAACGAGCACACAAACATCACCAGCCCCATTCGCGACGCACCTCGAACTCTTCACTCCAAGGTCCTAAAGATGCCTCCCCTCTCCAGGGTTACCGCCCCCTCCTCCCCCACTGCGAGGCTTCGTCGCCACAGTTACCCTCTCCGCCCCCACCCCACTCCCTGCCAATTTCCGTCCCCAGCGCCAGTCGGGCTCSGGGCTCCCTCCACTCACCAGGTCTCCGCCTCCCATGATGACAGAGACGTCTTCTCGCTACGCGGATGTGGAAGATTCAGGGAAGATCAAGAAGAAACGTAGGGGAAGAGTTCAGGGACTACCTCTCCGAACCTGGCCCTGACCGGCACTGGCAGCCACTTTCATCGCCCGGTCGAGGACACTTCCGGGAGTGGCGTCATATTGCCGCGTCGACGTCGCAGAGTCTTGACGTTTAATCCTAGCTGTCGCGCTACGTGACGGTGTCCTATCGTGCCGTTTTCTCAAAGTTTCAGGATTCATGGTCATATGCTCTGTGGTCTCCTTTTGGCTACCTCGGCTCGGCACTTAGCCTGAGGTCCCGATACCGCTTCTGAGTGCAGTTACASCTTGCGGCCGGCCTCCGGTACTGCTTGTGGCCATGGTAGCGTGCCAGGGTCCTGGCTGGTCCAGTCTGCATCCCCCAGGCTGGACCTCTGTGTGGAACAGCCTAGGTACCTCCCCCGCACCCAGCCCCACACCCCAGTCTGTCGACTGACTGTCGATCCCGCGCTCTTCAAACCTTCACTCCCGGCCAACTTCACTCCAGGTTTATCTTACGGAGATCGACAGAAACCATCAAATTCTATCAGCTTCCGTGAGCCAAACCTTTAAAAAGTCGGCCAGCTTCCCCATTTCCTTAATTGGGTTTTTACTTTTGAATTATAAGAGGTGTTTACATACTCTGTAAACACCTTCGTCAGATACATATTTTGCAAATAGTTTCTAATCTGTGGCTTGCTTATTAATTTCTTAACGGTGTCTTTTAATAAGCAGATATTTGAAATTTGGGTGAAGTATAATTTATCAATATTTTCCTTTATGCCTATTGCTTTTTGTTTCTCTTCTATGGACTTACTGACTGCCTTCCATATTTTCTGTAAAGCTATACTAATCAAGACAAATAGTGCTGGCATAAGGATTGACAGGTAGATCAGTGGAGGAGAATAGAGGGCCTAGAAACAGATCTACACTTAGGTGACCATTTGATTTTCAAAAAGCCACCAAAACAATTCAATGGGAAGAAAAAGCCTTCCAAAAAAAAAAAAAAAAACAGCTGGGGCGGTTCCAGCTTCCAGCTTCCGAAAGATAATCTGTTGTTTTCTTCTTAATAGCTTCATGGTTTATAATCTTTCTCAAATTAACTTTTGTGTATGGTGAGATTCACTTTTCCCATATGCAAACACAGTTATTCCCGCGTGACTTTTTCGTTCCTTTTTGGTGCTGGGGATTGAACCCAGGGTGCTCTAGCGCTGAACCACACCTCCAGCTCCAGCTCAGTTCTTTGAAGACTTTTTTCTCCCCACCTATTAGTTTAGCTTTATAGAAAGTAAGGAGAGCAGGTAGTATTAAGTCCTATTTTGTCCCTTTCTGTTAAGATTATTTTGAATAGTCTGTCTTGTATTTCCATGTAAATGTTAGCTTGCCAATTTAAAAGCCTGCTAAGATTTTCATGGTTTTGTGCTGAATCTATGAATTTGAGAGTTGGCTTCTCTGTCATTAATAAGTCTTCACAATTTGAAGATGACACATTATCCCATTTATTTAGATGTTCTTCATTTTTTTGTAACTTTAGAAGTTTTGCACAACTTCATTAAGTTTTTCCTAAATATTTTATTTTTATGATGCCATTTTAAATGGAATATTTTTTAGTTTATAAATTGTTTCCTGCTGGCATATAAGACTCAATTTTTAGATTAATCTTGTGTTTTACAACACTGTGAAATTCATTTATTAGATATTGTAGTTGTTTTATACTTATTTAGCACATATGTAACAAAATTTGTACATTAATTTCACAGCAGTATTATTCATGATGGCCAAAAAATGTGCAGCAGCTGATAAATGAATAAATAAAATGTAATGTATCTACACAATGGATTCTTATTTGTCCATAAAAAGGAATAAAGTCCTGCCACATGCTACAATATGGATGAGCCTTAAAATCAGTTTGGAGCAAGGTGAGGTGGAGCACGCCTGTAATCCCAGTGACTAAGGAAGATGTGGCAGGAGGATCACAAGTTCAAAGCCAATCTCAGAAACTTTGTGAGATCAGTCTCAAAATAAAGAATAAAGAGGGCTGTGGATGWAGCTCAGTGGCAATCCCCAGTACCACAAAAAATAATAATATTAAATAAGCAGCATGGTAAGTGAAAAAAGCCAACCACAAAAGATGACATGTTTTATGATTCCATGTATATGAAATGACTGAATATAAACAGAATAGGCAAATCAATGAAGAACACTGGTTGCCTACGGATGAGTCCATTGGAAGGAAATGGGGAGTTACTGCTAATGGGTATGGAGTTTGGTTTGGGGGTGATTAAAATGTTCTAAAATTGTTTTAGATGGTTGTGCAACTTTGAATATATTTTTTTTTACCTTTATTTTATTTATTTATATGTGGTGMTGAGGATTGAACCCAGGGCCCCACACATGCTAAGCAAGTGCTCTACCACTGAGCCACAACCCCAGCCCCAGAATATACTTTTTAAAACACTGATTTCTACACTTTTGTTTGTGGGACTGGAGATTGAACCCAAGGCCTTGCTAGGCAAATGCTCTACATTGAGCTATACCCGGAGGCTTGAAATCTATACTTTTGATGGATCAATTACATGATACATGAATTAGATCAATAAGGCTGTATTAAAATTGGCATCATGCCAGGCATGGTGGCACATGCCTATAATCCCAGTGGCTCAGGAGTCTGAGAAAGGAGGATCATGAGTTCAAAGCCAGCCTCAGCAAAAAGTGAGGCACTAAACAACTCAGTGAGACCTTGTCTCTAAATAAAATACAAAAAAATGGACTGGGGATGTGGCTCAATGGTCAAATGCCCCTGAGTTCAATCCCTGGTACCCCCCAGCAAAAAAAAAAAAAAAAAAAAAAAAGTCACATCACTTACCATAAAAAGAATGTAAAAGTAAATATAATATTATTAAACACTAGCTAGATATTTACATAAGCTCCTTTGATTGAGAAAGGGGAGATTCTAAAATGTTAAGGAACTGGCACCAAATAAAATCTTTTCCTTAAGTTATTCAGGAATGAGAGAGACTTGAAAAACAAAAACAATTTTTTCACTTCCAGGTTCAGAGTTTTTCATGGCCTGTTTGATAGCTATAGTCAACTTGCAAATTCCTTAAGTACCTATCCCCAACACTTGGGGCAAACTGACATACAAGATGTGAAGCTGCAGTATCCCCAGGAATGTACCTGTGACCCATCCATGAAAGCAATGTTTATTAAGTGGCAAAGGAAGGGACATAAAGACATTTCAGAAATTCAACATTTGTGGTGATAGGGATGAAACCCAGGGCCTTGCACATGTTAGGCAAGCACTCTACCACTGATCTTTATCCTCACCCCACAAATCCAATTTCTACAAAGCCCCAAAATTGATGTCAATTGGATTTAAGAAGTCTATTAGAAATAGAGTGGGGGATTGCTGGGGGAAACATCAAATTAGTGCAGGGACTAGCTGCCCTATAGTGAAATGCTTCAAAACATTGACTGGCCCGCCCCGCCAGTCCTTGATTCACTGATGATCTGTCTGTTCTGGCTTTCTGAATATTGTAAGGAAGTGACTTCTCCATAGCTGAGGGAGGGAAGGGAAGGGAAATTAAAACAACTCCCTGACTGGGCACAGTGTCTCACACCTGTAATCCCAGTGACTCAGGAGGCTGAGGCAGGAGAATTAACCATGAAGTGCAGTTTGTTTGTTTGTTTGTTTATACTGGAGATTGAAGCCAGGGTCTCCCACAAACTAGACTAGAGCTCTACCAATGAGCTACGGATCCTAGCCATTTGTTTGTTCATTTATTTGCTACTGGGTTGAACCCAGAGGGGCTTTACCAATAGCTACATCTCCAGCCTTTTTTATTTTTTGAGAAAGGATCTCACTAAGTTGCTTCGGGCCTCACTAAATCGCTAAACTCATATTGAACGTGGCGATTCTCCTGCTTCAACCTCTCTAGTCACAGGGATTACAGACTTGCACCACCACGYCCAGCAGCAATCATAATTTTAATTAAATAAGAGTTAAAGAAGGGCTGGGGATGTGGCTCAAGCCGTAGCGCGCTCGCCTGGCATGCTTGCGGCCCGAGTTTGATCCTCAGCACCACATACAAAGAAAGATGTTGTGTCTGCCGAAAACTGAAAAATAAATATTGAAATTCTCTTTTTTTTTAAAGAGTTAAAGAATATAATGAATGAAACAGAATGTGAGAACAGGAACAACTGGGACATGGTAGTGTATATGCCTATAATCCCAGTTACTCAGTAGGTGGATTCCAAATTCAAGGCCAGCCTCAGCATTTTAGTGAACCCTGTCTCAAAATAAATATAAAAAAAGGGTTGGGGGTGTAGCTCAGTGATAGAACACCCCTGGCTTAAATTCCCAGTACAAGAAAGAAAGGCAGGTAGGCAAAAGAGCAATTGCAACACATGAGAGAACTAAAAGAACCAATGAAAAAGTTGGGAGAGGGGCTCAGTGGTAGAGCGCTCGCCTAGCTCACGTGGGGCCCTAGGCTTAAAGTGGGGCCCTAGGCTCGAGCCTCCGCACCACATATAAGTAAATAAAAGTGAGAAAAACCTCTTAGGTCTATAATATAAACAAATCTCTTTTAGAAATTTTTTAAAAAAGAAAAAGTTGAAAGTTGACAGTAAGGAAACATAAAGTACAGCAAAAACACAAGTGAACAGGAGAGAAAATGTGAGTCCCCAAATGAGCAAATAATGGAAAAATAATTATCAAAGACACAAGAAAACTTCTTTTCTGCATAAAGGGTACTAGGGATTAAACTCAAGGCCTCATGCATGCTAGACAAGCACATTACCACTGAGCTATACCTTCAGTCCAAAACTTTTCAAAATAGAATTTTAATGTGTATATTGGAACGGATCACCATGAACATTTCTGAAAATTTTCAGAACATCAGGAACAAAAATCCTGCAGGGTGGGGTTGTGGCTCAGTGGTAGAGTGCTTGCCTGGCGTGTATGAAGCCCTGGGTTCAATTCTCAGCACCGCATATAAATAAATAAAGGTCTGCCAACAACTGAAAAAATATCAAAAAAAAAAAAAAAAGAACAAAAATCCTAAGACAGAAATGGATCACACATGGGAATATGAATGACATT